CCTTTAGCAATCAGGAGCAGAGGACACTTGCAGGGTGATGCTGGGTGGCCAAGGGGTTGCTCTGCTGGCAGAGGTGGGGCAAAAAGGTGACACAAGTTTTAGTCTAGGCCAGGAGAGTGCTTTAGAAACAAAGTCATGATCTTGATTCTGATAAAGCCCCACAGACTGAAGCCTTTTTGTAATTCTCTTTTTATGACGCATAAATAAAAAGATAAATAAATATGTACTATTTCTATAAGTTCAAGTCACATTGTAATTTTTCCCAGGAGCTTGTTTGCTTTCTTAAGGGAACACAAGGAGCTTGCAGGCTTCCATGCTTCAATTTAACACAAGTAAGTAACAGCAAATATTAAAACATGGCACAAAAAAATGAATGGCACAGGCTCAGACTAAAATTAGACTGCAAACTGGGTGGTGTTCCTCAATTTTGTCTTCAGTTGGAATTAACCAAAGTTACTTTAGGAGCTACCTCGTGACAGACTAAAAAGATCTGGGTTCAGTGTGTGTGAGGCTTTGGGTTGCTTTTAACAAGCCACCTAAAACACTAGAGGATGAGGCATAAATTTCAGGCTAATTTATTTCTGTGGCATTAAGGAAGGTCACCCCCTGACTGGGCTCCTCACCTCATGTCCACCTTGGGTTAGAGTCAATAAAATGTGTGCTTGAAGCTGGTGACCTGAGGGCAAGGACACATGGTGGAGGCACATGAGGTTGTCTCCCTGTGAAAACTTCACCTACAAGATGATTTCTCTTGCACTGATGTCTTCAGTCACCAGCTTTGTGTGTCTGCTACTTCCTGGTGGTGGTTTCTCTGTTTTCTTTTTACAGAAATATTTGGACTGAGCTCAGCCATCTCTTTGCATCAGAATCTTCAGGGCCTCTTTGGCTCTGTAACATGGGCAGTGAGGGGTTGAGAGAGTTCCATTTCTTCTCTAATGCCTGGCTTTTTATTTCTGATCAAATGAATTCCATTGCAAAGTGGAATCCTATGGAAGCACTGACAGCAGCAGGAGAACATCTTCTCATCCCTGTTTCAGCACCTTGTTGATAGCTCAGCCTCCCCTGATGTTCCCATGGAAGTCAGAAATGCATTTGTGGATTTTTTTCACTTGAACCCTCATGTCCTGCAAATCTCCCTATTAATCCAACAAGAAATGTCCCCTTGAGTGATGTTAATGCTTAGTCTGGGAATATTATTTCCAACAAAGAGATTGCACCTGAGTAAATATCCAGATTTGAGATGTATTTGAATAATATCTCTAGCTGCTGGTCTGAATATTGAATCTGATGCAACCCACGGAGCTAAAAGAGCAATGAATTTAGTACCAGGCATAGCAATGGCCATGTGAAGGCATTAGCCAGATGTTTGTTTTTAAGCAGGGCACATGTGGGATTGCCTTGCTCTCTTTCCCCTGGCTCTCAAGTTACTGCAGGGCTGCATTTTCAGCTTTAGAAGCCAGAAGGGCACAACTGATTTGTCCTGGCCAGTAAAAGCAAAACCACATTACTGAGAGCTCCCTGGTCTGGAGGTGAACGGGTCAGAGAGGGCCCATTACGAGATGTTTTGCTGAAGGAATGACCTTATTGCAGTGGCTCTGCTATTTGGATGGCAGCATCAGTTTCTTATGAGCTGTTCTCCAGTGATCCTGGGCTGCTCTGTCCTTGCAGCCCATGAACTTGGCCTTTCAGGGCAGGGCTCTCTGCTGGAGAGGGGAGAACGGGCAGTGCTTAGTGAAAAACTTGCCTGGGGCTCCAGAGCTCGGAAGAGCAGCTGCTTTGGGAGCCAGGGGCTGTATGCAGATTTATTTTCCAGGTGAATGCCCTTCCAAGGATGTAGCAAGGCTTGCAAAGCTTAAATGAGATGCCTTGAGTCAGACTCACCAGTGTAAGGATGGCTGTTCAGGTGGGAAAGGTTACGGAGCTGCAGCTTCCAAATTCCTTCACAGGTGGTTTTGCATTTTGGTACAAGTCCTGTTTCTGCAAATGAACTTTGGGATTTGGAAAGCATCCACATGGTTCCCAAATCCCATGGAAGTGCAGCAGCCTTACCAATGGCTGCTGAGAAGGGGAGATTGTCACCTCCTCCTCTTTTTTGCTGCTCCAAGGGGCCTTGGGCAGCACTGTTGGGTGAATTTTTAAACACAAAGCTGAAAGTTTTTGAGCAACCACACAGTGATTGTAGCATACACCTTATTTCCTGACTTACCAGGTAGATCCAAACCCCAAAAGTGGGATCAGATCTCACACCAGTGAGGAAGTAACCTCATTTACCAATGCCTTTCAAATGATACATTCCACATGGAAGGAAGGGGTCAGAATGAAATTTCAGAAATATTTTGCATATTTTCCCACAGTTAAAGACAAAGAAACAAAGGTATTAACCAGGATCCTTCAGGGAAAGGAGCCAAATTTTGTTTCTCTACATCTAGATTTCCTGGGCCAGCATGGTCCTTGTTGAGCCAGGCTCAGTTGCCTCTCTAGGCTGCAGGTTGTGAAGTCTGAAAGAACTGAACTTTGGTCTGAAGATATTTTGACAACACCAATGTGCAAAGAGCCACCATTTAACAGAGGCCAACTTTGCCTGGAGGTGTCCCACGTACCTCCCTCTTTTTCCCTGTCAAGCATTTCCTTGGAAGTCATAGAGGTTTGGGTTGGAAGGGACATTAAAAATGATCTCAGGGCATTTGGTAGGGTCATGATTTTTTTCTGGTTATTAATTCATAGGGTTTCTCAAGAGAAATCCAGGCCTGATATGTAGATCAGGAGTGAAGTCCCAGAAGGACCTATTGAAACGAGTCCTGATCTTGGTGGTCAGGGATCTTGAGATCTAATGAATCAATCAGACGAAAGATGTGACTCCCAAAGACTCCTGGAAAATGCTTTGGAGAAGACAGTGAATTATCTGCTTGCATCAGCTATGTAAAGAGCTGAATCAGGCCAAAGAATCAGTCATCATTAAAAATATCATCATCATTTTTGGAAGGGACTAGAATAAAAATATACAGAGAGGAAAAGAATTAAAATACATTTCTGGAAAAGTGTGTGTTATCAGCAGCTTGACAACCAGTGGGAGAAAATGGTACAGATTAGAGGCAGAAACCTGGGAAGTGAGGAAGAGGGAAATTAGTTAGAATATGCTGAAAAACAGTAGGAACCCTACACATTTTTTCCCAGCTTCTGGGTTGGAGCAGCAGCTGATTTCCACAATGCAGGAATGAACAGGGAAGTGCAATAATCTGATACAGATGTCCCAGCAGTGAGTGAATCCTTGGTTTTGACAGCAGTTCTCTGGAATTCAGGAAATTATTGTGGTTAGATGCTAATGCTTTCTCCTGCTTTGCTTTGCTTCCAGGATGAGGGAAAATAAAACAGGAAAAATGAACACAGATGTTATGGAAAGCTGAGAGGCTGGTCATGGAGTTTGTTTTTCCCTCCTGATGTTTGAAGCTGTGTTTGCTGGAGAAAGTGTGAGGAGCAAATGTTTGCCTTAAGTTCTATTTGTTTATGGAGAATATAACAGCCAATTCCTAGAGCCAACACTGACCAGAATTCAGCTCCTCACCATCCAGGAATGCTTCCTCATTCCAGATAATTCCATGTATTTGGGTGACATTAGCAGAGTGCTGAGGGGTCAGGAGAGAGGATGAATGTGAGCAAAATTAGCATGAAATAGTATCTTGTTGAATCCTAGGAAAATAACTTGTTTAGGAGAGCTCTAACCCCCAGGTGAGTATTTTCAGCACAACAATACATGAAAATCTCTTTGTGGAACAGTGGCTCACCTCTGATCACTTCTTGTTTTATGAAACAGTTGGGTGCAGCACTGTACTAGTGAGAAATTATGGATTTTCCTGCACAGTGGACACATTTTGACAATGATGGCTGTGGCACAGCTGCCAAATTATGATTATCTAAGGTTGGGTATTATTTTGGCTGCAGATTAGCTGTTAAAGCAAAATTCAGTCAAAATTGCCAAGTAATGCATTAAAGGAGGGCAAAAGGGCTGGTGAGGATGCCAAAGACAGAGGTAAATAACAGGAGAAGTTGTGGATGATCCATCCTTGGAAGTGTTCTAGGCCAGGCTGGGCTTTGGAGCAGCCTGGTCTAGTGGAAGGTTTCCCTGCCCATGGCAGGGGTGTGGAATGAGGTGGTCTTTAAGGATCCTTCCAAACCAAACTTTTCTATGATTCTGTGATTCTGTGATATCAATTCTGCCTCCAGCTGCAGGAAGAGCATGCACTTGGATGTTCTGGTGAGAGTTTAGGTGGTAAATACTCAGCAGAGCATACAGGTGTGTGACTACATACCTGCTCTGCTCCTTGGTTCTTTCCTAGGCTGTTGCCCCTGCCAGAGAAAATTCCCCAGACTTTTTTGTCATCCCAGCAAGGCCACTCTTCATGTTCATACTGGGGAAAGAGGAGGAGCGAGGCTGTTGCATGTGATGATTCACTAATCTCATCCCCCCAGAATTTCCCATGAAAACAGAATAATGAAATTATTGAATGAAAACCAGAGATACCACAACCAGCTACAAGCCAAGCAGCAGGACTCAGATAACATGTGGAGCAGATTTCAGGTCTTCTGAGTTTCCATCAGGCTTCATAGAATCTTAAAGGTTGGAAAAAGTCTCCAAGCTTTGAGCAAACACCACCTTGCCAATCAGACTGGGGCACTGCGTGCCGCTGCTTGTTTCTCAAACACTTCCATGGATGCTGAAAGGAGCCACCCCTGGCCCCTCCCTGGGCAGCCTGTTCTACCCTCTCTGGGAAGAAATTCTTCCTAAATTTATCTTCTTTTTATGGTATTGGTGAAATGAAGCTTAAAAACATATGGAACTGACAAAAAAGGGACCTGATGGCAAAATTTAGTGTAAAAAATCCCTTCATGTTCATAGTTCAGGTAAGTGTTTTTGAACAGTTCCATGGGCATTGGCTAATTCTTTAAAAGCAATGAGCTGGATTCATGAAAGAGAACCTAATCTGGATTTTTTTTTACAGCAGCTTGAAGAGGTGAAGCTGAATGTGGTGAGAATGGTGTGATACATCCAGCTGGAGCAATGCCTTCAGGTGTGTCATTTCAGGGACTGAAGGAATTATCTCCTGTCACACAAGACACCTAAAAATGCCACAAACTCTTAGCTGTAACAGGTAATTCCATAAATATATTGGATTTCTATGAACCAGCCTAGAGCTCAATAGGCTCAATAGGGTGAAATAACAACCCCACAAAAGTTAGCAGTGGAAAAGCAAACACAGACTATTGTGGCACTCCATAAATCAGGAAATTCTGAGTTGAAAGCAATGGTAGACTGAGGGAATGGGCTGGAGGATGTGTCATGTTTTCATGCCATGTTCTGGCTCTCCCTGACTCTGTACAAGGCAGACAATTTTAAAGTCAGCTCCAGGAACATCACCAGTGGAGAGCCCTTCCCAACAAAATGCACATATTTGATGCCTCCCTGCCACGTGGTGGCACGTGGAAGGAAGGAGTTGTAAAGAATTTCAGAAATATTTTGCATATTTTCCCACAGTTAAAGACAAAGAAACAAAGGTATTAACCAGGATCCTTCAGAGAAAGGAGCCAAATTTTTTGCTTCTATATTTAGATTTCCTGGGCCACCATGGTCCCTGTTGAGCCAGGCTCAGTTGCTCCTCAAGGCTGCAGGTTGTGAAGTCTGAGAGAGCTGAACTTTGGTCTGAGGATAGGGCTGATGTGTGTCACAAGGTTGTGCTGCCCCTTCTATGCCCTGATCTACCCCAAACAATAGTCTAGGACAAGAGTGATGGGCTCAGTGGGTGCCAGGACTGGCAGGAAGGGAGGTGGCCCTGCCATGGGATGGCTCCTGGTCCCACTCCTGACCCCATGGCAGGCTCAGTGGGTGCTCAGCTCTGTAAGCCAGGCTGAAGGAGGGGAGGGGAATCTGGGACATTCTTCTGGAAAGCAGACTGACAGATCTGTCCCAAGACTGTGAAAAAGGGCCTGAAGCTCTTAACTGAAGTCTGCCTTGGTCCTCTTCGCTTTTCTGGCCCTGAGCATTGTATTTTCCCATAATGACTGGTTCAGGATCACCAGACTGGTTAATGACCTGGAATAATTTCATAAGAGATGAACCCAGACTGGGATTCAGCCAAGACACATAAACGGTTCAATTACCTGATTAGGGGATGAGCTTAAGCCAATTTGCAGGCAAAAACAAGGTCTGTGGGATTTAAGTCAGTTCTTATCGTGGTCATCATCTCAGGACAAGAAATGTAAGAGAGATGAATCTCCCTGTGGTTGGCAAAGATTAGAAAATGTGTTGTTTCCTTCTCACATGACATGCTTAATTCCTAAGTATCTGCTGGACAGCCTGGGTGGATTCTTGCACTTATTGACTTTCCCAAAGTCAGCAAAGCAAAGTTATATTCTTCCAAACAATGTGCTCAAAGCAGCCTGCTCCTATTAGGAAAAACTACATCACTGAGGGATTTGCTTAATTGGAGCTTCTTTCCAGAAACTGGGTTGGCTCCTCAGTGGCAGATCCCAGTGATGGTCATGGAATTGAGATGTGTAACCAAAGCAGGGTGTGATACAAATTCAGATTACTGGGATGTTCATCCAAATGCTCTTACACAAGCTGGCTTATTCATTTTGTACATTTGTGTTGTACCCCATTCAAGGAATATTATTTTAACTAGATGCACTCAAATCAAGGTGAAGAAAGGAGCATGGTTCACCTAAAACACTCAAAAAACTGCAGGATTTTATCAAAATTCACAGGCAGTGACTCTTTGCTTAACAAAAACTGATGGTAAAGCCACAGGATGCCCAGAGAAGATGTGGCTGCCCTGAAAGTGTCCAAGGCCAAGTTGGATGGAGCTTGGAGCAACCTGGGCTGGTGGAAGGTGTCCCTGCCATGGCAGGGAGTGGGATTGGATGATTTTTAAAGTCTTCTCCAGCACAAACCTTTCTGTGTTTCTAGGACATCTTCATCAAGTGCCAAAACCGTCTTCCAACTCTGTGTGAAATGTAGCTTTGAATCCATTTCTGAAAAATTAGCTGAATTAATCACAGTGATACCTAATGAAAGGAATTCTTTGACATGTCTGGAAAGGAGAGTGCAGCAGGGTGTGTAAAGAAGCTGGAAAAGTCTGGATGTTTATAAGCCCTAATTTTTGATGGGCAGCTAACAAAATAACCCCAACTAGCCAAACAAATCTAAGCAAAGAAAAAAGATGTTATGACTTTTAAAATAATAGGTAGAAACAGACTGAGAACGTGAAAAAAGAGGAGAGTCTATGTGAAACTAAATCAGTATGAATGAGCCTTAGGAAAGAAAGGGCAAGATATTGATGATGGTCTTCAGAAAAATGCATTTGCTCAAATGGAAGGAGTTAAGACCCCGAACAGAAATTTTTAAGCTGAAAAATTGTGGAGAACTGGCAATGCCTTAGGAAATTTCTGTTAAAGTAAAATATACAGACTATTGCAACATGGAAAACAGCTCAAGGAAGTTGTAAGAAACTTACTTAACTTACTTAAGAATTAGCATTACTGAAAAGAAACAATAAGTCAAACTTAAATGGGAGAAAAAAATTTGTATTAAGAAGGTGTTTCAAAGCATCTGCACTTGACACCATTCACCTGTGTGTGTTATTGATGGTAACTGGAATATCCCACAGAGTTATGGAAATGATATTTGGAAACTTGGGGTGGGGCTGAGGTGGGAGAAGAGTTACAGGGTGCCAGTCTTTGGAAAGAAGAATACAGTGAGTCAGCATCATTTGAGTTTTCAGAATAATCTTGAAATAAATCCTCAATCTGTAAGTGTGAAGAAGACAAGAGAGGGATGAATAACAGCCAAAATTTAATTTTTTTTTTTAAGGAGAACCTATGCTGAAGAATTTTGATTTCATTTTTTTTTTGACAAAACAGTAGGCCTGGAGGATTGGGAAAAAAAATCCCATAGATATTAGATATGACTTAAGGTCTGGACTTTATTTATTAATAGTGTCCTAAGCAATTTTGAGAATTAAAGATTAGATAATGCTGCTATTTGTTGTACTGGAATTTGTCTGAAAAACAGCAAAGCATTCATAACTGTTCTCTGAGAAGTATCAGACCACAATGATGTATTAAGAAACAAAAACATAAATCTCCATAGGGCAAGCACCAGTCATCAATTTTTATTAATGAGTTAGAAATTCTGCAGACTGATCACATTTGCAACCCATGTGCACATGCAGAAAGACAAGACTGAAATCCAAAATTGTCTGGATTGGGAAAATCATCTGGAAAAAAATAAAGTCATGTTCAATTAGGCCAAATGTAAAATTCCAGCCCCAGATGGAATAATCAGCTGGGTGATGCAGCAGAATGGATGAATGACAGCAGCACAGGAGGAACATTTGTCAGGAATTCTCACTGCTGTGAAAGAGGAAAGTGCCCTGCAGAGATGGGAATCCATCAGGGTATAAATAAAAATCAATCAACTTCATAACAACTGTTTTTCTCTCTTAAACCCTTTTAATATGACATAATACTCTTAAAATGTGTGTAATCATATTGCTGCAAATCTACTGTAAATTATTTTAATATTTCCACATTCTATGATTTTTCAGGGTTTTGTGTATTGTTATTACCTCTTATTACATGTTTAATTTGGATAGTAACAAAAAGAAGGAGCATAGAGAGACAATGGGAAGATTTTCTACTGATATGGTTGGTTTTGTCACAGAACTCCTGGTGACTTTGGTCTACAGAATATTTCTTGTTTGTGATGAGCTCTTCTGTTAATTCAGAAAGGAGATGACAGAGGGTTGTTGATGGTAATGGGTAACGCACGAGAAATTTTTGGCTGGCCAGAGGCTCTCCTAGACTCTGGGTGGTGCCACTTTTCTAACAAAGGGGACCACAGAAAACTCCAGGTGAAGAAGGATTTAGAATTTAGGCACTGTGCCACATTCATTTGACCACATTTCTTAGGTCCCAGTCACTCCCCTGGGAATGAGGATGTCTGGCCAACACTCTGGCATTGGCTGTGAGAGTTCAACCAGAATTTCATGGAACCACAACTTCAAGTTTTAGTTTGGAAGGAGCCTCCAGAGATCACCCAATCCAACACCCTGCTCAAAACAGGTTTCATTAGACCAGGTTGTTCAGGGCCATGCCCAGATGGCTCTGGAACAACTTCATGGAAAGATAATTGCTTTTATCAACTGTTTTCCCAGTGTTTTTTTAGAGGGGGTGAAGGGGTGAATATCGAGATAATTTTGATCCTATGATAATCCTCAAAGCCAAAAATTCAAATGATACAAGCTAAAGATGCTGAAGGGAATGAATTGCAAGCACAGAATAATTAAAGAAAAAAAAGAAAGAAAAGAGAAAAGGATGGGAAGCAAGAGGGAAAGAGTTAATTCCCCCTTTTGTGCAGATTTCAATATGTACGGACAAAAAAGATAACAGGGTGCTAATGTCCCAAGTCCTTGACTGTTTTGATTGGCACGAACAGCAGAACGAAGTCAGCTATAGTTAGATCTTGTTCCTACATGTCCAGACAGCTCCGTAAAAACGCAGGAATTTAAGGAGGGGTGAATCCTGCCAGCTCTTACCCAGACATGTGAAACTGCTGAGTCCAGCTCTGCTACCTCGGTGAGGAAAAGTTTTCAAGACCCTGTGCCAGGTGAGTCCCTTAAACAGATTTGTCTGTGATCCTTGCTCAGCAGCCTTTCCAAAGCCTATCCGATTCCCAGGCCCTTTGGAAACCTCACCTGGCATGAATTCCATTTGTAGTTACAAATGCTGTAAATTATAGGTGTCACATGGACTGATAGCTGCAAAAAAGGGCTGTTATTTTTCATACTCTATGGTCAGAAATAACGAGTCTGCTCGTGGGCCAGAAAGCATGATTTCCCATTTGGAAGAATTTAAAGAATTAATTGTTTGGCAGGACAAATGTACTTGTAAAACTAGGCGTCAGAACACATTTTGCCCTTTGATTCCCTCTAAAATTCTCAGATAAACCAACTTAACCCAGATACACAAATCACACACATCAGCTGTCCAGCAGGGAAAAAAAATGCTATGGCTAAAGGAATAAATACTCTGGATTTTAAAGGAGATGAAGCAACCTGAGTGGTCTGAAATAGTTTTTGGTCCACAAACAATTTAAAAGTATTTTAAGCAATTTTTTTTCTTGGTTTTTTTATAGGTTTCTCCATGGTTATTGAAAATTTTGTGCCTGGGATTCAGAGAGAGTTGGTCAAGAACCACATACATAGATCTATTTCTAATCCAGGGATCCAGAAAATATCATGAAAACTTGGCAGAACCTGAATTCAGTAGGAATCATTCCTGCTCTCCACCACTGTGCTGAAAATCGCAGCAAAGCATATAAGGAGGATTTATGTACAGACCTATATATATTTACATGTGCATTGAAAAGAAATAAAATATTGGTTCGGGTTGATTGATTTGCAATAGGTTGCTTCAAGCAAAATATTTTTTTTGAGAAACTCTGAACTAAAAAGGCAGAAGAGGAACCGGAATTCACTGAGATCAAGAAATCTGGCAGCCACATCACATTTTGGGAACACTAAATATTCCCAAGACAAAGAGCAGCTTGTTTCTGGGATGTGTCACCCAGTTTACAGCTGCAGCAGATGTAACCATACATATATGGAGAGGGACTTCTTCCAAGAGCAGGGACAAGGAGGGACAAGGAGGAATGGGTTCAAACTGAAAGAGAGTAGGTTTAGATGGGATGTTAGGAAGAAATTCTTCCATGTGAGAGTGGTGAGGCCCTGGCACAGGGTGCCCAGAGAAGCTGTGGCTGTCCCTGGATCCCTGGAAGTGCCCAATGTCAGGTTGGACAGGGCTTGGAGCAGCCTGGGACAGTGGGATGTGTCCTTGCCCAGGAGGGTTGGAATTGGATGATCTTTAATGTCCTTCCCAACCAAAACCATTCCATAATTCTTTGGTTCTATGATATTTAGAAGTAGTGCTAATAAAAGCTCCCCCAGGCTGTTTATTTGCTGCTGTGTCTCTAACCTGGCTCATGCTGCAGGAGGTGACACTGCTGCCCTTTCCTTTCTCTTAGGAAACAATTGCATGATCCATGTGGCTCCAATATGGAACCACCACAATGATGGCTGCATTTAGGCACAGATCAGAGGGTTTTCTCACAGCTCACGCTAATCAGAGTGGTTAATGAGGTAGTGATGGATGAATCAGGTGCTAACAGCACCTGCACTGTGATTGCAATTTGGTAATTTGGGATTTTATTTGCATAATCACCTAGTGCCAGCCCTGCTGCACTGACACTGACAGAACTTGCAGCAGCACCAGGAGAAAGCTGATGGCGTTTCTGCAGGAAAACATTTGTGCTGGGTAAAACGCCTTCCAGACATGGGGCATGCTGAAAACTTCAGAGCACTGAGTCAGAACACACAAAAAGTGAAGCACATTCCTTTGAGGGCTTTCTGCTTTACCCCAGAGTTGGTCATGGGGGGCATTTTTAGTGCTGATGGAGATGTGAGTTTGTAGCCTGCTGAAAGCAGAGCAGGGGGTGGTGGAGAAAGTGGAGTCAAAGAAAGATAAAAGATGATAATCTGGGTTTCTGTAGTGGCAATGAGGCTTTTGAGAACATGAGGAGTTAAAAAATCACTCTGTAACCATCTAGAGGTCTCAGCAGCTCTTAGCTCCTAGAGCTGGATAGAGGGAAACAGGGAAAGGCAGAAGATATGGAAAACAAACACAAAACATAATTCTGTGCTTGCATTGGTGTAGATGAAAACATGGAAGGAGGGAGAAGATGAGACCAACTTCTTGTTTAGCAGGTGAAGAACAAGATGAGAACAGTCAGAGTATCTCTCTTACACTTGACCTCCCATTTTTGCACTATTTAGGATGTTTTCTGTGAGGGGAAGGGAAAAAATGTCTTTGTGCACATAAAAGGATTTATAGTAGAATTTTTTACAAAGAAGTTATAAGGCTCATTCAGCAAATACAATTGTGGGCAGTTAACAGGCTGGAAAATTCAAAAGAGCTGCAAAAACATGTTTGATTGTGCAGCAAACAAAAGGATGGAGAATAAAAAGTCATAACAAGCTGCTTCTTTTGAAGCAGTCTGCCTTGAATTGTTGGGTCCCTTATAAGCTATAAATAAACTGCACATCTTTGTAGAGATCATTGTGCATAACTGAAAACCAAGAGAGATGGTAAAAAATACTCATTATTAGAATTACAGCAACAGGAATGGGACCTGTGGTGGTCAGGGTACAGATGGTCTGGAGCACTGGGACTGTGATTTATGAACCTGGCCTGCAGAAACTCAGGCTGTGGCAGAAGTGCTGTGAAGTGCCAACACACTGGATTATGTCCACAAATTCCCTTCAGTTCCTGAACTGGGGTCCATCAGAATGGAAACTGAGGCACAGGTTGCTTCAAAGGCTTTTTCTCAGAATCAAATCATAGAATCACAGACTCATAAAATCATTAAGGCTGCAAAAACCTGAAGATAGTTAAGCCTTCAACCCAGCACCACCTTTTTCATCACTTAGCCATACCCTCCAGTGGCATATCCACACCTTTTTCAGCAATTCCAGGGATGGTGACTCCATCAAATCTGTGACTATTTCTTATTTTGCCGCCACACTTTGCTGCCAATTCCTATGGCACATAGAACAGGAATGTTATTAATAAAAAAGTGAAATGCTAAAAATTACATTTTAAATTTATTTAGCTTGAGGGTTTTTATTTTGTTTTTAGAAGACTTACACTGCAGAAGAGTTTTGCATCTACCAGAGCTGGTGAAGTTTCACCCAGCATCTGGCACCTTGAGAACACTTGTGGCATCCTACAGCTTCCAGAGAGGGATTAATTCCTGTGCTGATTGGTGGCTGTGGCATGGACCAACAGGAGAGATGCCAACACCACTTAACTACTAAATCTTACACAAATTATATGGGCTGAATCAGGTAGAAGGAAGTCACCAAGATTTTTTTACCTCCCTCCTGCTTGCAAAGAACTTCTGTGGATCTGTTATTACTCCACGGGCACATCGTTTAATCAGGCAAACTGTAATCACACCAATATTAATTATACATAACGATTCAGTCAGGCAAAGTGAAACCTGGCCACAAGGGAGATATTAGAGGTGATGTACTTATTTTTGATGCGCATATTAATGTGCTAACTTTAAATCTAAGGAACATTGTTTGACTGGAAAAACACTCATTACTAAAATTAGGCTGAAAGTTATAAGGCAGAAGAGATGCTGAATGATCTCATGTGGCAACAGTGATTTACAAACATCCATTATTAAAACCAGAAAGAGGTTGTGTTTCAATACTTTAATTATTCTGCAGGCATTATCTGATTCAGTTGTATTAATCTCCTGTTTGCTTGTTTGCTTGACCTGTGTGAATGGCCCAGGAATTTATTAGCATTTGTCATTTACATCCATTTATCAAGGATGTCAAGGTGATAGAGCAACTGAGGTAACAGTGCTGGAGGGGAAGAGAGAATAATCAGTGTCTACCTTAGCAGAGTGTACTTAAGCAAGGGACAGAACCAAAGCATTCCAAAGTTTTTCAGTTGTGTTGAACTTGTCCAAAACTGCAATATTTCTCAGACTTCAGTATGACATCAAGCCAATGACTCTCCTAGTACTGAAAGCAGGTTTATATTAATGAGAAATTAAGCAAAATAAACTATATATTTGCTGACTTCAAGTTACGCAAAACTCCCCATAAGACAAATAAGATAAGGGTGTAATCCTAAATATTTTTGGAATCCTGTAGCCCAAAGGGATATAACCATGCTCCTTATCTGAGCATCCTTTCCTGGGCAGATTTGAGATAAGCCTCATGGCTCTGCTCTCCAAGAAGAGAGCTATGCCTAATCCACTGCAAAATCTGTGCCTTTTGCTAGTAATTTAATGGGCTGAGCCAGCTCTGAAACTTGGTGTGCCAGTAATATTCCACCACAGATTTATGGCCATTAGCAGAAGATGAAAGAGTGCCATGTCACAGAGGCCATGGAGTCGGAGGGTGGAGAGTGTGACAGTCCAGCAGAGAAGAATTGAGGTGTCATCTGAGCACTCCAGAGTCACCCAATCACTATTAAATAGCCAAATCCATGGGGCAACTTGCAGAAAAAACCCTGCCTTGTGTATAACGATAACCTCGGGATGGGGCTGGAGATGCAGAAGGTGTTAGGTCACAGATCACCTAGAGAGCCCAATGGCAACACTGAGATGACTTCAAAAAAGCATAATTTATTTATCAGACTGACAGGGGAAAACTGTATGAAAAAGGGCACATGGGCAATGCAGGGCAACAAGATGCCAGCCAGCATAATAGTCATAGCATTTTAATAAGACTTGTGCTTAAAAACTTGAAAGGCTGTGAAAGTTGGAAAGAGCTAAAGGGCTGCTGGCAAAAGCCTGGAAGGTGAGTGCCTGACTTTTAACTCCCTCTGTGTCAGCCAATTCTTCAAGCAGCTCTTTAAAGGGCACAGCAGAAGGAATTCAGTGGAGTAGAATCACACAGTGACAGAATGGTTTAGGTTGGATGGGAAGATAAAATCTCATTCTAACCCCCTGGGTTGGGTGGGCAGGGACATCTTCCACTAGCCCAGGTTCCTCCAAGCCCCAGTGTCCAACCTGGCCTTGGGGTACTTCCAGGGATCCTGGGGCAGCCTCAGCTTCTCTGGGCACCCTGTGTCAGGGTCTCCCCACCCTCATGGGGAATAAATTCTTCCTGTTATCTAATCTAAACCCATTCTATTTCAGTGTGAAGCCACTTAAAACACAGGTTGGAGATGCAGAACCTCTCATGAGCTCTTTTAGTAAATCCAGACTTAATTAAAAATGAGAATTCTCCCACCCTTTGTGGAGTGGAAGGGGGAGTCAGGGCTCTCGCTGAGCATCCAGCAGTGAAGACGCACACAAATCTCATATTCCCCATAAAGTGGGACTCATGGAAGAAATACCATCACTCAGGCTTGCTGTGCTCTGGTTTCAAGTTATCCTCTTGATGCTGACAAGCCTGGCAACAATTTTCATTATCAGCTGTGCAGATGAGCTTGGAATAAATCAGGTTTACTTTCCTGAGGAGCTCCAGAGTAAATATTGGAATCAGTATCATGGAGCAGCTGTCCACCAGGACAAGTAATTCACACTGGAATCTGTTTTGGAGAAGTTCACCCATGTAGCACCTCCAGAAGAGTCCAAAGCAGTGAGATTTGCTCGAGCTGTCTGGGCTGCAGCTGCCCTGAGCAGACTCCTGTGGGGTCAGTGACTGGTTACCTTAAAAAGCTAGGAGAAGGACAGTGTGCCCACTGGGCTGTACTTAGCAGCTCTTTTCCTCTGGAAAATGAGGCTGAATATTCAGATACACTAATAATCAATACCCTTAGATACCCCTGAAATAGTTTCAATCGACCAGTCCTGTGAAAGCTGTGGGAGCCCAAGGTTT